CCGAGCCCGCGGCCGCGTACTCACGTAGGGCTGGTAGAACTTGGAGAGCCGCGGCTTCCCGTGGTTGTTGAAGATGAGGATCGCCTTGATCATGGCTGGGCCGGCCGACCGGGTGGGCGCTGGGGGCCGGGGCGGGGGCGGGCACGCGAGCGCGCCTCGGGATCTCGCAAGCGAGCCTTCCCCACCCGCCCCCTCCCGCGCGCGCCCCCGACCTACGGGGCGGGGACGGGGGCGGGGACGGGGCGGGGCCTGCGGGGAGGGAAGCGGAAACTTTGCCAGGCCGAGTCCACGTGTCCGAGTAGAGGGGGTGCTTCCTACGTGGCGGCCTTGGAGACGTTGTTCGCGGGCCGCTTTCTGGAGTTTAATGTATCGGGAAAACACTCTTTTTCACATTAATGGTCGAAGATCTGAGGCAGGGTGGACTTGAGAATACAGCCGGCTACTCCAAGGCTCTCTATAGTGCTGGATTTCCCTAGTCTGACGGCTCCCTTACGACGTCCCCCGGCGCAAAGCTCGCACAGTGCACGCTCGCCCATTTCCGGCGCGCGCCGCTCCCAGGAAGATGGCGGAAGAGCCGGAGTCTGGCCTTCAGCTCCCTCCATCGGCTGTGGCTGCTGGCGGGGAAGGACCTGGGGAACTCTCTCCCGAAACAGCCACACCAGAGCCCCCTTCTTCTGCTGCAGTTTCGCCAGGGACAGAAGAACCTGCCGGCGACACCAAGAAAAAAAGTAATTTTCAGGGCAGATCTTGGGTAACAGGCGGGAGGTTTAGTTTCGTCCCTAAAGGTGCCAGCGGTTAAAGAAGCAAAATTTAGAGAAGGGCGAATCCCAGACGTGCGTTGTCACCAGACAGAAGAGAGGAACTGTATTTTTCAGTTTTTAAGAGTTTTGGAGATGAGCCCTCCTGAAAGCCGCTTTGGGCGCAGCGCCTGCGCACCTGGCTGGGCTCGGTTGGGTGCCTGGGTTATCGGTTCGGTGGCCGTCGTGGCCCCTTGTGGTGTATTCTAATCAGACCGCAAGCGCTTTGAAGTGGGAGGTGAGGGGATCCAGGTCCGTAATCCTGGAGCTAATTACTCCGATAATGGTAAGGTGATGAGGATGGCAAAGCGTGGAATTACCTTCCCACTGGTTGACTACCCCCTCCACTGAATATAAGTTCACGCTTTGAGCCAAAAAAACTGCAATTTAAACCAGTATAAAGAATGCTAAGGGAACTGTGTTAGTCCCGTCGCTTGGGAGGCTGACGCATGGGGACCTCGAGTGCCAGACCAGCCTGGACTACGCAGCGAGACCCAGTCTTAAAAAGGGATAAGGATGTCGTTCGGTGATCGAGCGCTTACCTTACATATGTGAAGACGTGGGTTCAAGTCCCTGACCACCCAGCACACAGATTGCTAAGAGAAAAAAGACTAAAAGCATCAGCATTGCCTTCAAAAAATATTACTTTGGGACCTTTGTGAGTCGTTTTGGTTTTTGACCTACCGTTTATTGCCTGGAGAGAGTTTGTCGTTGGAAATTGACGAATTTTTTAAGGTTACTTGTCCAGAACAATCTAGAGTTGGAGGTTTCTGTGAGAAAAATAGCAAACATCTTTGAATTGAAGAGGTTGAAATTGTCGGTGGTCAACTTTTCTCGGTCCAAAATGTTTTTCTGTTGCTTTCTTATTTTGTGAAATAATTTCCTAATAAAATAACACTACCTAATTCATCATTATTATCTTCAAAATAGTTACGCAAAGATTCTCTTACAAAGAAGAAACAGATAAGAGGACAGAACCTTCTTCTTGGGGAACTAAGAGAAACTGATAGTTGAAATGAAACAAGTTAATGTACATATTATTTTTGATAGGGTGGAGTAGTCTCAAGATGCGTAGGTGTGTGTTTTCTGCTCTGTGACCTCAGGGGCCTGACAGATCTTTTTACTGTGGTGGAGGATGGCGGACTCTCCCGGGAAGAGGCTCCGCTCCCTTTCCCAGTCAGACTGCCTGGAGGCTGGCGGATGTGTTAGGGTGGTACGGCACCTGCAGGGCGGCTCAGGGCCGGGGCTTCAACATCCACCCTTACCCCAAGGCAAAGAAAAAAGAATCAAACTGCCTTTACATTTGGGGAAAATCGTTTCCTTATGGTGCACTATGACTGTTTGTGGAAAATAAGCCATGAAAGTCTTCAAAACACTGCTGTAGGTTTTAAGATTTGCCTTGAATTTATCTCTTATAGTTTAAACAGTGACCCACTTTCAAGGGGTATAAGATCCCAACATCATACTGAATTCCTACGCTGAGATTGTCATCCTTTTTGAAAGATGATCTAATGAAAGACACTAAATATTTCATATGGTGTTCCTTTAATTTACAGGAGAAAGATTATTGACAGACCAAGGCTTTTGGCCCTGGGCGCATATGAGAATCACTTGGGGAGCTTTTGAATCAGTGTACCAGTACCTGGGTACTGCTTTCAAAAGATTGCAGTTTAATTGATGTGGGTATTTACATTCTTTTAAATGTTTCTCCCTTGATTACTTCAATCAAATTACCTTTAGAAGTAAGAGTATAAATATTATGACAGTACAGTAAGTACTTCTCTAGCTTGCGACTAAATTATATTGATAGCGTCGGGGCATGGGGTAGACAGAGATGCGAGGTACCAAAGACAAGCTAACCAAAATCTATTATCTCCAAGTTCATTCCTATTCCCATGGTAACTGAAGGGAGGATAAATAGTTCCTTAGCAAGTGTACTATGTGCACTATGTGTTCTGTGTGCTTTCGTTCTAGGGGTAAATTTGAGTAAATTGATCTCGGATCCTGATGGTTTTCAAATTTTAATATCAAAGGATGAAGCAATCAGGATGTAATATGTAATAAAAACTTGGTGGGTATAAAATAATAGTAGCATACTATTTTGCTTTCATTGTTTTTGATTGTAGGTGCTTTTTTTATGCAAAGTAACTTTAAGAGACAGGTTCATAGTCTTTGGAGTTTGCATGTCAGTGTTGGATCATTGAAACTTTATTATTTCTCCCTGAAGCCTCTTTTGACCTTTAGTTGTATTTTATTTTTAGTACTATTATTTTCCTTATTAAACAGTTAATCAGAGAATGCACACCTCAGCATATACACTAAAAAATTAATCATAGAAAATTAGGTAGTCACAAAAAGTGTAAGTAATGCCAAGCAATAATTGCTTATAACGTTATTCCTGAAAAGTATAACCTTCTTACGCCATTAAGTATATTTTTATAATGTGTTTCTTTAATGACTATTTAATAGTCTTAAGATTCAATGACTATGAGTTTTGTGCTGGTATTGTTCGAATTGTGCATTAAATCTTTTAATACTTAGAACAGTCTTTTGTCAACTTAAATATGTATTTCATATCTTTATGATCTATTTTTACTATGTCTTAGTTACTTTCTCATTGCCGAGACACAATATTTGGCAGGCACAATTTGAAAGAACAAACGTTTATTTTGGTTGCACAGTTTGTAGAGGTTTCAGTCTGTAGTTGGCTGGGTCCATTGCAGGTGACATGGCAGACCAGAAACAGAGATCGAGGGAGGAGCAGGAGAGACACAGACCCAGGGCACACTGCCAGTAACCCACTGTTAACCAGATCCCACCTCCTAACAGCAAGTCAGCTATAAACCCCATAATCTCATGACCTTCCAGAAGCCCCACCTGTGATCACATGATGCATTCAGATACAAATCATAACATTCTCTTTAGAATTACCTGTTAATGTCAAATGCATTTTAAAAATGAGTCCCCCCGGGGAGAACTTTGTAGGATCAAGGAAAAAAAAAAAAATCTAACAATTTTACATCTTTGATTATACCTTCTGGATCATAGATACCTTAAAGCTTATGTAGATTAAAAATTTAAGTATATGAACGCTTTTAGATCACATTCTCATTAGCTGTTTATAATTATCAGTAATTTTTTTCCTTTTACAGTTGATATCCTGTTAAAGGCTGTGGGAGACACCCCTATAATGAAAACAAAGAAGTGGGCTGTCGAGCGAACTCGAACGATCCAAGGACTCATTGACTTCATCAAGAAGTTCCTTAAACTTGTGGCCTCTGAACAGTTGGTATAGTGATTGTTTTCCTATAAAAATTAAAAGTAGTTCCTAGGCAGCAGTGAATATTTTATGTATAGAAATATTTTATGTATAGAAATAGGACTGATGTGCTACTTTTGTTGTGTTCTTTTATGTCTCTTTTATTAGTGGGATTTTGTAATTCCATGATTCTCTAGGGGACACTGAAATAAAATAAATTTGAGATTTGCTTTATAATGTGAACCAATTTTTTCCCCTAGTTTTGGTTCTTTACCTAAATAAATTGCTTAATAAGTACAGAAAAATCAGTCATAGAACATTTTTATACATCAGTAAAGAATTTATAATTTTTAGTTTGATTCCAAAGTTGCTTTTGTCTTGTTCTTGAGGTAAACAATCTATCTTTTCCGAGTAATGTGAAAGACCTAAGAGGTATGCACAGTACTTATTTCCTATGTATGTTTAGCACTTCAAGGTGACAGTTACAAGGATTAGGAGTTCTGATGTCACTGGTTTTTAATTTGGTACTTGTCTCCAGGAATCTGTCTTCATGTAGCCATGCACCACTGACCACCAGAGTTCTGACAGGCGCATCACTGAGTGGTTTTGTTACATGCACAAACCCAAACTGTCAGTGAGGGTGTAATCTTACAGGACCACCATTACATTTGTGGTCCCTGCCTACATGTCATGTGGTACATAGCTGTATTGGGAATTTTTCGTTCTGTTAATACTTTGTGTCAGACACCTTTATTTGTAGGTAATTCCAAGTCTTGGACAGTATTAAGGCAGATAACATGTAAGTGGATTGATACCTGAAGAAATATTAAGTATTTTTACAATATAAATTAAGAATTTGTACATGTAAATATTGGGATATATTTGCTTAAAAACAGTTAAAAAGTAAGAACTAAACTTAGAAAAAGATGTAAAAGTGAAATCATTATTAAAGTAGGATTTTTCAAAATTTTTTGTCAGGAAAGAGCAAGAAACTGAAACTTTGATCTCAGAGTTTGGCTGTAAATGGCTCTCACAAAAAGGGAAAATTCAAACTAGGTTAATAGCTAGTTGTTATTTCAGGCAAGAATAGCATAGACCCAGAGATTCCTCTAAAGTTATTTGGGTAAAGTTTTGAAAATAATTGAGTTTTACATCTCCCTTTATATTCAACAAAATAGGAAAAGCATGTGTTTTCTTGAGTGTCATAGGTAATTAACGGGGAAGGGTCAGAAATGGGTAAGAGTTTGTAGCATTGTCCACATGGAGATAGTAGCAAAATCCTCACAAGCAGCAAATCTTGCCTAGAGTTTAAGTCCTAATGGAAAAGTCAGAATGAGGACAAGCTCTAGAGAGAAATGAGCAGAAGCTGTATCTCTACTGAAGATGTAATGTGAAGAGATGGTAAGGTCAGTAAGCAGAACAGTACAATAATTTGAAAGCAGTAGTATTTGAGAAATATGTAGAAATAGAAGAAAAGATGTAGCTGTGCTGTGCCCTGTGTTAATAGTTGAGTTTTGAAATTCTGTCCTGCCTATATTCAGTAATCCGAAAAGAACTTAATGTCAGCATGTATTAGATTAAGCCATGTAGTTGCCATTTGTCACATTCCTAGACTTCCCATCTTCTGACTTTTATCTAGCTGCACCTCACATTATTTTAGCAAAGTAGATGGCTGAAAGAAAAAAGATAGGAATTCTGGAAACATAGTAGTATCAGAAGGCATAGTTGAATCTCTGAATTGCGCAAAAAGGTAGTCCTAGATAGCAAAACCAAAGCACATACTTAGTATTTATGCAAAACTAGGTGACAAGATATCCTCATGAACCTCAAATACTAGTGGAGGTTGCAAGACCATAATATCAGCATCTCTATACCAAGAGACGCTGCAAGCAACAGGATTTACATCTAACAACATGGAGAAAGAGAACCTCAGAATAGCTAGGAGGTGCTATTCTGCACACTTTTAATACTAGCACGGGGGCTGAGGATTTAGCTCAGTGGTACAGTGCACAGATGCCCTAGGTACAAGCTATGTCACCCTGTCCAAAAGAATACCTGAACTGAGTAATTAACAGTGTGTCCACACTAAGGAGGACTAAAAGAACTAAAGCACTGTCGCCCCTTAGAGCTTTCAAAACACACCTAGTCAGACCCTTTCCAGGACAAGACCCCATATGGGGAAAAATTTGGGGAAATCAAAATTGAGCCAAGAGGAACATGAGAAAGGAAGGAAAGATAAGGACTAGATCAGAGTGGAAAGTAAGCCTCCATATTTGGTAGTGCTGTACAAGAACATAACAGACGAGGGCACTCTCAAAAGTTATAAAAACTATCCTGAGCCACCTTATTCCAAAAGTGGAGGTGAACAAATTTCACATAAGAACAGCAACAGGAATTATCAAGGTCAGATCCTGTACAGTGTTACTTAAAAAACAAAATAGCATCCCTCAAGACAGTGCAGACAAATCAAAACTAAATGACATGAAAAGAACACTAGAAATGAGAAAATTGGCGTTAATAAAACTAAGAAAGTGACAAAGCCCGAGAATTATAAGTAAAAAGAAGATTGTCTCATAAATGGAGACTAAACTAATGTAAACATAAGAACAAGTATACAGTAGATAATAGCTTAAGAAAAAAGATAATTTTTTAATTCAAAAGAAATGGTGAAAAAGATGTGAAAGTGACGTATTGAATATGGGTTATGAGAGGGGAGTTGTTTGTTTGAGACAAGGTCTTGCTGTGTAGTCAGGCTACCCTGGAACTCCATCATCATCCTGCCTTAGTCTCCTAAGTGCTGGGATTATAGACAAGAGCCATTACGCCTACAAAGTACATATATTTATGGTTTAAAGCTCTTAAACTAACTGAATTGTTTTTTAAATACATTCACTTTCAGTTCCTAGTTTTTGCTAGAAAATCATTTTGAAGTCTTTTGGTTCTGCATATACTCTGCTGTCCCCATAAACTAGCTTTTCTCTTCTGTATTCTTTACTGTTCACGTGTCTGCCTTTCCAGTGGATCATAAGCTCATTGATTGGAAAAATCATACTGATCTTCATAATTCTATACCTTGTTTGGTTTTTAGTATTTCCCAGACACAAATATTTTCTCAGATGAACTAAACTTTCATTAGGAGGCTTTTCCTTAATTTCCTGTTTTTTGGTTCTAGGGGTTGATCCCAGAGCCTGTCCTATGCTAGGAAAGTGCCTTACCGGAGATACCCACCACCCAGCCCCCTTCTAATTGAAAATCTACTGAAACAGGAAAGTCCACTCACTGATAGTTAAAATTTCAGGAGCTACCATAACATTTTAAAATTGCTGTTACATTTCTGAAATTTTTGTAATATTTAAACATGAACTATATTTAAATAATTTAACATCTATTAGGTGCATATACCAGACACTGTTACTTAGCATGTATTACCTCATTTTTCCTTCCTGGCAACAGCAAAAAGTTGCTATTTTCTATAGATACTATTTCTGTTTTGTTTTGTTTTGTTTTGTTTTGTTTTTTTTCCGGTACTGGGAATCTTAACTCGTGACCTTGCGCTTGCTAGGCAGGCGCTGTGCCGCTGAGCTAACCCCTATCCCCCTATAGATACTATTTCTAAAAGATACTATTTTCTGTATTTTACAAATGACTTTGACTAACTTGATATTGAGGCATATACTATTTTAAAATAGTAACAACTATTGACTGCATGTACCAGGCACTCTTAATATTTTCATTGTTTTCTTTCCTGCAAATAATGTTTTCTAAAAAGAAAATTAACAAAAACTACCCTGTCACTATGCTCTAAGTGATGAAATATTTTAATAAAACCAAGTAAGCAAGTATTAAGCAATAAAACCTTTAAAGAATATTAGGCTTCAATTATGTATGTTTCCTTTTTCTTCCCGTCATTTCCTGCAAGGAACTTTGGTGCTACCCAGCTTGAAGTTCACTAGCTTTGAAAGTTTTCAAAAGTGGTAAGGTTTAAAAAAAAACCTAGCCACGTATGTCATGCATTTATCCAAGAAAGATATTCAGAGTATTTTGAATGTTAGGTTTATTGACTGGAACAAAAATTCTGTTGATTTGTTTTTAATATACCTTGAAAGAAAGATGTGATCTTAATAAAGATTCCTTTAATGAGTTAAAAGTTCAGAGAAACTTTGATAAAATACAGGTTAATCAAGGTTAAAATGATTTTTTTTTCTTTCTTGTAGTTTATTTATGTGAATCAGTCCTTTGCACCTTCGCCAGACCAGGAAGTTGGAACCCTTTATGAGGTAAAAAGTTACTGCTGTTGTTTTCTTTCTTAGTGGAGTATCTGTACTATATAGTACACATAATGTAATGTATAGTATAGCTCATTAAATCATATATTTCAGAGTGGCATGCTATTCTTAATTGTCAAAAAAAGAAAAGGGAATGACTTTCTTGTACTTAATATATCTCACACCTTGATCACAGTAGGATCTAATTCTATAGTGATTGAAAAGTGAAGGTACAAATTATACTTTAGAGTTGTCTTTTGTTTGTATTTTCAGGAAGTTTTTATGTTTTTTTCATTTATCCATTTATATGGTCCAGAATTATCCATTTATATGGTCCAGAATCCAGTTCTTGCCATCAAGAAATTTTTAAAAACTATATAGGAATGACTTCATTCAACATTCTTAGAGTTTCATGGCAATAATCATTAAAGTTTTCTAGTACCACTAGAAACAGCTGAAAGTGGCATTTTATAGAGATGTAGAAAAGGGACAAAATTAAAGTATGTAAGTAAGCCCATTCATACTGAAGATGTTCTAGGAACAGGTTTTTATTAACATTATTATTGATACATGTCTGGTAGAAATAGGCATCTTGTGAAAGAAGTAGCCTTAAGGATATTTGTAATATATGATTTTTTTTTTCTTCTTACTTCATTTAAGAATAACAAAAATTGTATTTTTTTCTTTTTGTAGTGCTTTGGGAGTGATGGTAAACTAGTCCTGCATTACTGCAAATCTCAGGCATGGGGGTGAACCACAGAGAAAAACAACTTGCTGCGCAAAATGATTTTTTCACAAAGGAAATGACTCTAAAATGTTTTGCTGCCAGTAGAGAGACCTACTAAGTATGAACTGCTCAGCATGTATCTGCTCTGACTGGTGTGTATGCATAAGAAAATATCCATAGAATGAATGGATTCAAATCACAAAAATGTGATAAATGTTATTACACAAATCATCATAAAAGATTGACAGTAGAGTAGATTCTTTGTTCCTGCCAGAATGTCTGTTTCTGATGTGCCTCCAAGGGCAAAAAGGAGCGTGAAACTGTATAAACATCATTACCAGTTCTTAAAGCCTCTGAAATTGTTTACTCATACTTCAGCCACTCTATTGATTTTTTTTTTTATGGTAAAAGTTAATTTACTGAAGGATTTTGTTTTGTTTTTGTAGCTTATTCAGAGATCCTCATTTTGTTTGGGAGAGTGGGTTATATTTCCATTTTATCTACTGTAATGCCTTCTAAAACTGAGGTACACTGACATTAGCTGAGTACCTCATTTAGTCCAGTAGAGGGCAGCCCTGCTGGCCGAAAAGGTTTGGCAGTTTGGTTTTACATTGCCAGGTAATTAATAGAAGAGAAAACTATCCTTGGTACCTTCTAGCTTGGAGAAAATATTGACAAACCGAAAGACTTTTAGAGAATAAATATAATTATGTTTGGGGAACAAGTAATTTTATAAATTCTGCACAAATGAGTCATGCAGCGCTTTTCGGTCCTGTCATTTAAGATTACTTAGTCATAGTGTTGTGTTACCCTCAGTTATTTAAAATGTCAAAAGAACTCGGTGAATAAATCTCACACCATCAGGTGTTTCATACTGTATTTTCCAAATTGAAAGCACTCAGTCATTGAAAAGTAGCCTTATATTTTATGTATATTTTGTGCTATGACTAATGGAGTATTGTTTTTACTGATGCTATTCAGTTGGTCATTACTCAAAGTGAGAGTCACTCCAGTAAATTGAATTGACTGTCCAAATAGTCCAAGGTAGGTACTGGAATTTCAAGTGTTTATTCTCAAAGATAATGTAGTAAACATGATACAGTTTTGTCAAAAGATTTAAACTACACTTGCATCCCTTAAATCCCAGAATGTGTTTGATGGCTAATGGCCAATTGCATGTTGCTATTAGGAGGTGATAAGGAACAATTCATTTTACAGTGAAGTAGTTGCTGTCCAGTTTTCATTTTCTGCCTAAGACTGAGACTTATTTTCCCTTATGCCAAGGTCCCTTTGTAATAAATTACTGCAGCCAATAGTTAGCAAAGGAATAATACTGATAGGGTGTGCTGTACAAAATTTTAACATTAGGGAAAAAAGTTTTATGTGTATTAAAAGCCGGGGTGTGTGAAATCTCAAGTCAGATGGATATGGAAAAGATGTGTTCTCTGCTTTTGGTTTATAGAAGAAAAGAATATATGTGTAGACACTTAACAAATAACAAATACTTGAATTTATTACATTTGCCAGTGATACTTCATATAATAGCATATTTACTATTTCAGTAGTCAAAAATACTTCATTTTGAATTTGTAGCATCAGTTTAATGTTTCACTTAAAAAAACTTACTAGCTTAGTCAGTCTATGGGTAGGATTGGAAATAATAGCTCCCTGGTAGAGGTCTTGCCTAAAGTGAGGCCCTGAGTTCAATCCCAGCACTATTCATAATTAAATGAATCTAAGGCTAGCTAAATATGGGTATTTTATTTATTTTCATCTATAATAACATTTACATAACAGTCAACCATTTTACTTGTGTATAATCTAAAGTGGGAGAACATTTGATGTTAAAGGAGTATGAAAACGAAAAACTTTTCTTAGGACTATAAAACCTGCTTCTTCTTCCAAGGACTATAATATACTGAGTAATCTTTTAGCACTAGGAAAGCCAGCTACAGGCCACATAATGACTGCAGAAGTATTCAAAAACAGTTCAATGTGTCTATTTTAGTCTTAAAAATATTACAAGATCTATCTGAATTACTGCAGGGGGAGCTTCTCCCTTGTGAGCATACTTCAGCAGACTACCACTATTAAGCACTCACCTGATTTGGGAGAGTGGGATGTTGCTTAGTACCTACACATACCGAGTAAGCTAAGTGTGACTTAGCTTACAAAAGTAACAGTGAAGGAAATTTATATAGTTTTAATATTTGTATGGCAGAAGGTCATCAACATTTTAATGCTTTTAATCTGAACTTATTTTAGCTGACAAAGCAAACCAGTTGAAAAATAAAAAATAATACAGGGGCTGTGAGTATAGTTCAGTGGTAGAACCCTGGGTTCAAGAAAGAAAAAAGATGCAACATACAAAGTTATTTATAAATGTCAAAAGAACTTGCTGAGAAATCTGATACCATCAGGTGTTTCACTGTATTTTCCAAATTGAAAGCACTCAATCATTGAAAAGTAGCCTTACATGTTATGTATATTTTGTGCCATGACTAATGGAATATTGTTTTTACTGATGCTATTCAATTGGTATAACTAACCTTATTTTTTAAATGCAAAGAAAAACAGTTTTGAGCCAGGTGATGCCACATGTATGTAATTAAAGCAGTCTTGGAGACTGAGGCAGGAAGAGCCCAAATTCAAGCCCAGCCTGGGCAATATTGCAAGACTTTGTCTCTAAAAAATGGCTAGAGATGCTCAGTGTGAAGGTCCTAAGTTCAAAGCCCAGTTCTTCGCTGTGTAAAAAGATCAGTATTATCAGTAAAGATAACGTAAATCCTATTGAATGTGTGCTCTCCTCACCATTGCAATAAGACACTGTTATGACATTTAAATTGTGGAGCTTTTTAATTGAGGTTTTAGAAATAATGAAAAAGACTTTTGATAGCATTAGCCAGTACTAATGAATAAAAATATTTATGAATCCAAGTAGAATCTTAAGTTAGAAGAAGTATGTCAACTCCTGTGGTTCATTTTATGTCGTCTTAACAGCATGAATCTGACATTGGTTACTTCTGGTATAAGTTCGGTGTGGCTGAACCAAGAAAGGTGTATGCAGATTTCTACAGGAAGTTCTGCATAATTTCTACAGAAAATTCTACATAATTTCTTATGGAATTATGATTCCATAAGAGATTATGAAGTAATGAAGAATGCTAATATCTTTCCGAGTGCAAAGTAATTTAGGAATAAAAAGGTTTCTTTGGATTGCGTTCCATAGGCATTTATCACTGATCAGTTTTGTGAACTGTGAAATAACAGTATGTAAACTAAGGGGTAATATTTCCTTATGACAAGTTATTGTGTGGACAGTAAGAAAGGGTGGAGGGAGGACCCTGTCCATTGTGAAAAGACTTAAACTGTCTTCCTTGCAATGTGCCTAATTCTCTTTCCGTGCCTTATTCAACTCTTGGTTCCCCGTTCCAATATCTAGATCTCCACAGTATCTTTTCCCCTTTCCCATTCTGTTTTTCTCTCCATAGATGACAAATTCTTTTTTCTACATTCTTAGCTCACGTGGCTCCTCTTCCAAGCCAGATCTGTCAGCACGTCTGTCATCCCATATACATATGTCATTTTAATAGCTAACCAGTTGGCTCCACTGTAACTGCTCTATGGCCCAAATTCTCTAGTAGCTTCCACTTAAGGGACTAAAGGCTGAAGTCCTTACTTTGACCTATAAGATCCTATGTGGTGCATAATCCAGTTCCCCACACTCTGCCCGGTGTGTGTGTTCATCTGTGCTCTTGTTGTAAACATGAAGATTGCACCCATCCCAGAGCCTTGCACTTGCTGTTTCCTCAGCCTGGAAACTGCTCCGGGACATGTCTCCTTAGCACCCCTTCATTCCTGCTCACACCCTCTAAAAGAGCTTCTCACCACCCAACTTGTCTGCTTTTTTTCCTCCATTGTGTATTGCGTACAGTCAGTGTTTGTGTGTCCGTCTCTCCATGTACGGGTCAAATGTGAAGTGCTCTCTAAAGACTCATTGGAAGCTTGCTCCCCAATGCAGCAGTGTGCGTAGGTGGTGTCAGAGAGATGATCGGATCATAGCTGAATGACCTATTAGGAAATGGGGTCCCTTTGGAGGAACCAGGTAACTGGAAAGTGGGGGGTACCTTTGAAAGGTATATCTTGTCCCGTGCTCTTATCTGGTCACCTTTCTCAGGCTCCTGGCTGTCATAAAACGAACAGTTTTTTTCTGCCTTTCCCTTTGACCATGATGTTTCTGTTGGAGACACCTGGCCATGAACTGAAACCAAGAGCCAGTATACATGTGTTCTCCCAAGTGTTTTGCCCAGCAAGAGAAAGCTAATACAACTGCATACAGTATTTGTTGCCGTGTCCCTACCTTGTCCTATAAGACTAAACCTGAGGGCAGTGGTTTAGTTGTGTGAACAGTACCTCACTCATAGTATCTGCTTTTAAAAATGTTTGCTAGATAGACACATTATTTCTGCACCTTAATAATGCTAGTTCCGTTCTTTGTATATCTAGCCCCTTGGCTGTGTCTTACAATGTGACAATCATTGCCTTGGGCAGTCTGCAATACAATAAAACTACCTGTCTGGATCTTTAATAAAGCTTGTAATGTCAGTAATATTTTTATGACTAGTTAGGTTATAATATAGAGTTTTGGGAAAGAATTCTAGTGTCTTTCTGGATTTAAATTGACAATTGCAGGATCCCCAAAGAAAGCTAGCAATTGAATTACTGTACCCAGTTAATGGTAAGCTTTTCCTAACTTCACTGCATGCACTCAAGATCAACATTTCTTGCATGCCTAATGTACACAAAGGCCTGTGCAGGCCATTGATGGGAAAGATGAGGCAGGAAAATGGCTTAAGCCCAAAAGTTTAAGGCCTACTCGGGCAACCTAATAATAGCCCCATCTTGAAAATAAAATGTATATAAAACCTGTCCTAAAGATTTTCACTATCAAGGTGCTCCACATAAACTGCAGTACATGGTGAGAGCCTTAAGATACTGATACTGCTTCAGTTGTTCCAAAGGAGAGATTGTTCATTTGTGAGAGTGCAAGAACCAGAGTAAGCTTTGGACAGCTGAAATGGCCTCTAATATGCAAACACAAGGAAAACTTGAAGCAAAAGAACAATTTGGATGAAGATATATTTGTAGAGTAATAAAGGGTGAAAGATCAAGAAACACTAATTTAGCCACAATTTGGAGAACTTTACTGCTAGGCTGACAAAACCTATTGGGGAAGTCAGGGTTACTGAAAGTTTGTGACAGGAAATAATCAGTTTAATGCTTTAGAATATAATGAGGCTATGAACAAAGGATTTGCATGGGTAAAACTAGAACTGAAATTCAGTGTAGCAGGAGCGTACAGTAAAGCAGCCATAATGAAAGAAAGGCTTGAATGGAATAGCAAACAGGAAAAACCCAAGGGGAAAGAAAATTTTGGCAGTTGCGAAAATAAGGAAAGTTTAGGCAGTGATGGGTGGGTTTACCCCTGGTGCCTTCATCACAGAAACAGCAGTTCCGATAGTTGAAGAGCATGCTGGAGTAGATTTGCCAGCTTGCGGTATTCGACATCTCAAAAGGGGTTAAAGAGTGCACTCAGCATGTAAAATTAGGGATGTGTGGGAAGTACCTACCCGGAAATGGTAATGGAACTGTGAGTGTGGGGAACAGAATGAGATTCAGAGCGGCAATACAGAAATGTATGTGCCTGTATTGAGAGATCTTTAAGGTGTTTGGAGCTCAAAAAGGACAAGTTCGAAAAGAGGAAAGTGAAAAATGAATTGTCAGAAAATTGAAGAGTCAGCTCATGCAAAGAAGGTATGGTAAGCTTGTATTTGAATTTTGTTCATTCCAAATATCAATGGATTAGATAGCTGAAATGAAAAACTTAAAGAGACTCAAAACATTGACAAGAACAAAAAAAAAATTTGAGGACACAATTTGAAGTACACGTTTCTTGAGTCCTGAATACTTTATCAATCATCTCCCAGCAGTCACACCACAGAGGCTGGCTTCTACCCATGTATTCTTTAAATAATGGCAATTGAGCAGCTGTTTTTCCATAACATCGTTAGTACATGAAATACAACTATGTGGTGCAAATGACTTCCATTTTATATGGCGGAGGACGAACTCGCCTAGGAAAAAAAAGACCATTTTTCCAGAAGCCTAGACCTTTAATAATCTCAAATTCGATTTATTACCTGGATCTATTTATAATAAGGAGTGCATAGTTGCATTTCAAATTACCATATAAATTACCTCTTCCCCCAGAAAAATACCTCACCAGCAATTGAAACATTAGGTTCTTAGCACTTGATCCTTCTGGTTTTTTGAGCCAGAATCTCGCTGTGTAGCCCAGGCTGGCCTCGAACTCCTGATCCTCCTGCTTGGGCTTCCGCAGTGCTAGGATTATAGGCCTGTACCTCCATTCCACACTCTGGGCGTTTTGTTTCAGACAAAGTTTGATTTCAAAATCATGCTTGGGAAGTGATGGCTTTCCACTGTTTAATTAGTCTTGCCAGAAGCCCGACTTTGTTGAAATGGACTTAGCACTATTGTACATTCGAAACAACCTTCATTTTCATTTGGCCTGGGGTGTATTCTCATAGTTCCTTTCCACAAAACATCCTAGCTCCTATGGGCTCTCCAGGCTGGGGGTGCACTCCCCTCTGCAACCTTCTAAGGCGCTTCCCGACTCCTCCTATTTGAAAGAAAGGGGCGCGTTCCATGCCCTTTCTTCCCTCGGTTCCCGCACTGCGACCCCCACCGGTGGTGGTGGCACTTTGAGCTGGGCGGGGTGGGCCCCGGGAGGCGCGGGGCGCCGGGAGCGCAGGCGGAGCCGTGCCCCGCTCCTGGCTGTGCCTGAGCCCGTCCCCGCCGCCGCTTGCGGCTCAGGTGGCTCCGCGCCTCGCTCCACCCCCGAAGACCGTTGGTACATTCCAGCTGCGGCCGAGAGCTTAAAAGGGGCCGGGAGGGCGCATTCCCAGGTTTGGTGCCGCCCGGGCGCACGGCCGCTCTTCTGCTCTCAGAAGCGCTCCCGAGGGCGGGCGTCGGGGCTGCCCTGCGCGGGCTTCTTCAGCTTCTGGCGGCGAGTCTTTGCGAGGTCCGCGGGCATCGCAGCAGGGGTCCCCCGCCCCGCCTCCGCTCCCCCGGATCCTCGTCTGGGCCGCCAGCGAGACCCGCGCGCAGCCCCGCGCAGGATGGAGCAGACCGAGGTACTGAAGCCGCGGACGCTGGCCGAGCTCATCCGCGTGCTGCACCAGCTCTTCGCCGGCGACGAAGTCAACGTGGAGGAGGTGCAGGCCGTGCTGGAAGCCTACGACAGCGACCCCGCCGAGTGGGCGAAGTACGCCAAGTTCGATCAGTACAGGTGAGAGCGCTCTGGCCTCAGCCAAGCGGCGCGGGCGCGGGTCTGCAGAGCTCGGCGGGTCCCGGGCGCGCTGCCCGCCACCCACCGTCTGCACCCCGGCTGCGGGTCGCGGGGCTGGCGCCGCGCTGCGGGCCCCCGGGCTTCTGCTCGGAGAAAGTGGAGCCTGCTTTCCCCGCTGCCCAGACACTGTGCACAGGAGGACCAGGGCCGGGTGGGGGACCACCGCACAGCTGCGAGGCTTCTTCTTCCCTCCTTGCCCCGGAGTTCCTTGGCTGTAAACCACACCGATGACCCCAGCCTCGGGAGCGATGCCCCCTCTCCGAGCCATCGTCTACCACAAAGTCGGAGATACACAGAGACCCCCCGCAGCCAGACAAACGCAGGCTCCTGCCCGCCTGTCTCCTGGGAGACCTGACTGGCTGTGCTAGCAGAGGGTGCTCCCCAGACAGCGGGGTCGCTGTCGTCAGCTATCCAGAAAAAGGGTGGGGGTGGGGGACACAATTCCCACTGTCAGTTCTCCACCACTATTCCTTCGGTCTCCAGCCATAAGGCTCCTTCCAGAAGGCATTTTCCCAATGTAAAACAGCATCTTGATTTTGTCAACTGCTACTATTCCGTTTCTGCTGCTTGCACTTCCAAACCAATTCAACCTTCTCAGCTGTGGGTTTATTTAAACTCACTGTCAGCTTTCGCAAATTAAGCACACATCTGCCTTTTCAGCCCGCACGTCACTCGCTCACTCTTACCCCTAGTTCCATCTGTAATGTACTCTGAAGACCACTGTCAATTTTTTAATCTGCGAAGTGGCTTTCGGAATTTCTTTGGGTTCCTATCAGCTCAGTTCCTGGGCAGGTCCTCTGCCCATCAGTAAAGCTACCAGTGTCCAGCGTTTCTATTTTGCCTGCATTTGCTCCAGATAAGTGAGATCTTGTGATGGGCTGTGTATTCGCTCCAGTCATTTTTTACAGGATAGCCAGGTGCCATTCTTCTCCGTTTAACAAGCAAGGGCTGGCTGCCAAATGGGAAACAAAGCGCTTGGATACAGGATCTCATTTCTATCAGGGTCCAAAAAAAGCCTAATTGTTCTAGAGCCCATACTCTAAATCACATGGAACTTCCTCTGGACAAATGACACTGTAATAGTTTCATTACAGTATATATCTGACTAGATGCAGCATTGGCTGAGTAAAATTAATTAACCAGGGTGGGTTGTAACTGAGCTTAATCCTTGGAATCGGAGCCTTTTGAAATGCAGCCGACTGAGCTGCACAGCTTGGTAAGATAATAGTATAGTGTGCATGGACAGCTGGGCAAATAGGGAGTGAGGAAGATGGACGGGCAGAAATTCTACCGAATTTTGGGCATAGAATGGGTACCAAGAACTGCTGATCTGCGACCTTGGAGGTGGCAGTGGGAAGGAGAGTGTGCAACAGCGAAGAACGAATATGGAATATCTTCCACAGAACATGCCTGGCCATGTGGCCCAGACGGTAAATTCTCTGGAAGAAGGCCGAGAGAAACAAGAGGGGACCCTAAGACTGGCAAAGAAGTAAGATCCTGGTGTAGGAACCCAGCTTACTGTGAATTACAGGCTGGGTAAAGAGTAACAAAGTGAGGAGGACTAACAGCTAGATGTATTTACTAAACAGCTCCATCAAGGACCCCGCTGTGCCAGCAGCTGGCTCTGAGCCTGAGGGAGGGGGGACAGGAGAGGACAGAAGGGGCACAAGGAACAAGAGGTAACAGATGCCAAGTGAATGGACGTCACCAAAAAGGCAGCATGATCCCTTGTCTTTAAAACAACAGTCGCAGCTGTGTTCACCTCTTCTTTTTGCCCTCTGCTTTTGTTTTGAGTGAAGAATTGTCTTGGGCCATATGTAAAACAAATAAATATAAATATGTATATATTTTAATGTGTATAAGTAACAAAACTTCTTGAATATTTTTATTATGATACTTTTTAAAAACAGAGTAAAAAAGAAAAGATGGACTATAGGTTGGCCAGGCCTCATTGAATGCCATAAGTATCAGATTTTGCTAATTAGACGGTGACAATATTACTGATTGGACCAACAACAACTTCAGAGATGAGTCTTCCCCCACCCTGTACAGTGGCAGTGAGGCTGTGATAGCTGTTTTGGCTTGGATTTTTTTTTGGCCAGTTACTGATTTCTCTTCTTTAGTGTTCTTGCCTAGTGAAGCCTTTGTTCTAGTACTTAGGTCAGCCCCCGCCTTACTTGTGGAGAACTTTTCATTATAAGTGATTTTGAATGTGGTTTGTGTCTGGGCTGTAGCAGTGAAGTTACAGAGAATTCTAGAACAGCTATTTAATGAAACCTTGTTTCTCCAGTTCTGCTGAGCGACAGGGGAGAAAGAGCCTAAGACAACAGTGACATTCTCCCCTGGAGTGGCTGTGTGCTCTACAAGTATCTTCTAGGGAAGAACTGCAACTTTTTTTTATCAGTTTGATACTGACACAAAAATACGGAATTTGTTTTTTGTGATGTTGTTGTTCCTTGTTATCTTTTCACATCATTAGTCAAAACTGAGCAGCTATGTGGTGATTCAAAACACAGAAAGGTCCTGTCATCCTTCAGGGACCAGCAACACAAAGCAAAACGCACAAAATGTAGAAAGGTCAAAAGTCAACTGTGAAGAATAATTTTCATTTGTGGTGGATTTCTTATTACAAAACCACACTCAAAATTGCTGAGCAGTAGAACTATTAACGTGTATGGCACTTTGTAAAACTTATTTTTCCTAATCCTTATTTCAGCAGTCAGATTTAAACTTCTGAATTCATTCTTTTCTTTAGGTATACCCGAAATCTTGTGGATCAAGGAAATGGGAAATTTAACCTGATGATTCTGTGCTGGGGGGAAGGACATGGCAGGTAATATAATCATTCAAAATACTTCTTTAGTGCATTTGGCCCAGTGGATGAGAAGAACACAGTGCCAGGCTAGCCACTAATTTTGCAAAGACTAACAGATCACATTTTAGAATACTCATTCACGTTGTCCCCCAATCCCAACAAAAATTACAATGGGAATTAATTTAGGGGGTTCAAGCATATACCATGTATGTTAAAACCGGTTCCCAAAATGAGTAGTAAATCAGATGACCTTAGTCACCTTCATTTAACCTCTGTCTTCTGTGGAGTTAAACTTCTTATGGAATTGTGTTTAAACCTGACCTTTGTGGTGTTTGAGGTGTGTAAACAGTTGTGGGACCAAAGACCAAACCAGATTTGGAGCTAGGAAATCATTTCACAAATTCAGAGGTTTTCTTCTTACTTCAAGCTAATTATTTAGCTTTTTTTAACAAGAAGTCAACTTAAACTAATACTGACTCTTTAACAGTTGGTTCTATTGCTTCAGTCTGTGCATTTACCAGTCTTACTGTCAGCTGAATATTGTCTTTTAAAACAGATTCTTCCCAGTTTTTGAGAATGATAAAGAACAGTAATCTACATCTATTTTTGATTGGATTGGGGAAAAGGACAAATGAACATTTAAGGCTTTAGAAAGTTAGCTCTATCAAAGATATTTATTTACTCATATGCAATGAGTTATATACATTCATTAAATATTATTTGTGAGCCTGTTATCAATGATAGACCTAGACTCTGGGGACTTAGGAAACAAGTTCTGAAGATACATATACAGGTTAATAGAATTCAACATGTGAAATAAATACTAAAAAATGTGCACATTTGTGTTCTGTTTTGTTTTGTTTTGAGACAGGGTCTCACTCTGTAGTCCAGTCTGGCCTTAAACTTGGAGCAATCCTCCTGCTCCAGCCTCCAAAGTACTGGGATTACAGAGTGTGCCACCATGCTGGCCATGTACAGGGACATATATTTTAATCAGCCCTATAACCATTACTGCTTCATATATCTAAATACTATTTATTCTAAGATCAAATACAACTTATTTTCTCCACCAGTATTGGGAGATAACCACAGACTGGCTACACTAAATCTGTAGATATTAACATTTTATATAATGTACAGTATAATTTAAGGGGGATAACATGTGTGCACATCTCCCCAACCCCTAAAGGAAAGAGAGAAGAAAAAAGTATGAGTGAAAAAAACACTGAATAATATACCAAGTTATCTTTTCAGTTTGTACAATTACCAAGGTAATTTTCTCTAATGTACTTTTGTTCTTATATTTGTTGTTTTGTTATGTGGTACTGGGAAGCAAACCTAGGGCCTCGAATACCAGGCCAACACTCTGTCATTTCTAAGATATGTTCATAATCGAATTCTAACTCAGGTTAAGTGAGCTCCTAAAAGCTAGATTTTGAAGAAGATAAAAAGTTGCTGGTTTTATTACCAAATGAGTATGACAAAACATTGTAAACATTAACTACTCATCACCATGGGCACACATCATAACTGTGCCCCTTTTTAGTGTGATGGCATATGCTCATCATCCCAGCTACTTAAGGCAGGAGGATATCGAGTTCAAGGCCAGCCTAGGCAACCCAGTAAGATCTTTTCTCAAAATAAAAGGGGCTGAGTATGTAGGTTAGCAGAATGCTTTCCTAGGGTACACAAAGTCCTAGATCCAATCCCCAGTGCCACCGATAAAAAAAAGAAAAAGAAAAATCTGTATCTCTCATATTCCTTGATACTGATAACATGTTATTTATTAGTTTGCTCTGAACAATGTTCAGTTGTAGATTGATGGCATTTTAAAAATCCATCTGAAATGGATTTGTACCTGGAAGATGTCCCCTTGATAGTGTGTAGATATCAGCTCAGGACGGACTGGATAATAGACCAACTGCTGAGTGCCATTGTCATTTGTGTATTAATAGTAGTATTCATGATCACACGGATTCCCACTGCTTTCTGAAAATGCTGCAAGGAAATCTAAAGGAGACATTATTTGCCTGGCCTGATAAAAAATCCAATGAGATGACCAAGAAGTCTGAAAGAACCTTGAGAGAAAACCAGTGTGCCTACATCAATGGTAAGTACATGCTGTCCTTTCTCTAACGATGAGTGGGAACAACTGAAATCTTATATGAAATAGTGATTGCTTACACATGTGCAGTGGAGCCTGTCGTGGAGTCATGATTTAAAATACTTGGGAAATGACCTAAACACAGTGGGTTTTGTTTTTCAAAGCTTTGAATCTTGGTTGGAATAATTTATTTAAAACATGTGTATGTAGGATAGGATCCATTGAAAAGTCATTTACCTGCCAAAATTTAGAGCAGTCAGCCTAGAATATGAATTTATATTTAGTAGACTCAACAAAAAAGATGATTGGAAATAGTAGTCGTTTTTATTTTAAAGAGAAAAAAATAAAAGTAACAATAAAACTAGTTTCAAAACAAGTTAGTAGGAGAGTTACAACAATTAATACATTGTGTATTATTGTCTTCATAGTAGTTTTTCAGACTAGAAGATACAGGCATGATATCTTGTCCAAACAATATTAGCACAAACCTTTCTTTTCAATTAATTAAGAAAAACTAGCTGTATAACTATCATGTGCATAAATATATTTTTTTCTTGGCAGTAGTAGTCATTATGTTAGAAAATGTAAAGAAATGTTCTGGAAGTGATTAAGAACACTAGCAAGTCCCTATTTTTCTAAAATGCATATAGCATAATTAAATGACTTTCCTTATGAGAGATTTTACAAAGTATGATACTGGGAAGTGATTTATAAATATCTTAATAAGAATTCATTCTTTCCCCTAAATGTGGTGTGGGAAAACTAAATGCTTCTCAGGAGAGACAGTAATTTAGCTTTTATATTCCTAAAAGGGACAGTATCTTATGAGATAGATAATATATGGGAAAAGTAAATACCTTGTCTGAGACCACTCGGCTTTTGAGTAGCAGCCAGGATTTGAACCCAAGTAATTTGGTTCCAAAGCACATGCTCTTAATTAGGATGTAATCTCATTATATAAAATAAAGTATTACAGATGTTTCTCTGGCAATGCCTGTTCTTCCTTTGTATACCTTAAATGCTGGTGTTAGTCTTGATATTTGGCCTAAATTTGTCACATCATTAGGTTGAGAATGCAAGTCACTTGCAAAAGTCAGTTTTATGGGAAGCTTTTTTATCCATCCGCATAACACAAGGCTTAGTTTGCTATGTAGCAGAAAACTCATAATTCATTTTTTTAAGTATTTAAGAGTTGCCATACATAAGGTACACCAGAGTTACAAGAGCAGGGTTGTTGCCTATAACATATACAATCAGGACAAAAGCCTTATGCATAGTTCTTCTCCGTTAGAGTCAGTCTGAGATTGGCTACTGGGAAATCTTCCTATGCAGCAGTCGGTATGAGCTGAGTGTGTGAGGTTAGGAGTACTGCAGGCAGGGGACAGGACTGTGAGTGTGCAGTGAGCTGGAGCATGCCAGCCACGGTGGTGCTCACCCACCAAGGACAGTATCCTGATTTCTTTTTCCACAGAATCTGGAAAGGTTAGTTCTTATTTATGTGAATTGTTGCTAACCTATAAACTGTTAAGCGAGTTGTACTAGAATGTTTCTGTAGACTAGTTATCCAGATAGCTTAACTACCACACATTTTCAGTCTGTAATTTTTACAGGTCCCAGATTGAGGGTGTGGGTAGAAAGCCATCAGAAGAAAGATGTGTCAAGGACAGAGAAGAGCGTGAGCAAAGGCACGGTGCCTGCAGAGTGAACACTTCGGGAACGGGGCCAGAGGAAACGGGGAAGGAAGAAGGGCTTGGACAGTGTTAGTAGGAGGGGAAAGGGCTGTTCTGGGCTGCTAAGACCAGCAACATGCAGCGTGGGGAAGAGGAGAGGAGAGAAATGGAGCAGGCGCATCGAGTTTGCACAGAAGTAATGGGCAAAAAGTCCCTAGAGCATGGATATAACTGGCCTTCATAAATATCACCCAGAAAGACCCAGTATTGCTGTAACAAAGGGTGCACTTTGAACATAAAGGAAAAGGAGGCCAAGGTCAAAACATAAGAATGATGAGGCTGGGATTAACAGTCAGGCTTATACATGCCTTGGGCTTAGGTAAAGGATGAGTGCCTGGTGTCTGCAGTCTTTGCTCGCAAGACTGTCCACCACAGATTGGGTGGTGTATACACTACTGTTGAAGACACAAAAAATTATTTGTGTGAAGGACAGTTGGTTCTTAGGAATGTTGAACATTTGTTCAAAATTGTCCTTAAGCCAGTGTATTGTGAAGTAGTAAGCTATATAGAATCAAAGCATTTGCTGGCCTGAGAATTAGGTTCCACTTTCCCAAACAATACTGAAAATCCTTGAAGTTGTCACTTGTTCAAATGTAATCTCGCAAGTCACTCTTAGAACCTGAGTCTTCTGCTTCTAGACTTTGTTCTTCTAAAAAAATATCTCTATATTCAACTCCTACACCTTGACTGGTTGTTTAGCAGAACGTGGGTGGTAACGCAGCAAACATCATCCGTCAGAATTATAGTATTTTTGCTTTCTAGTTTCCAGTGTTCAGGGGTAAAGCTCAGCATCATTCTGATTCTTACATCTTCCTGTGAAATCTATTTGTCTTTCTAGGAATGTTTGGAATCTGCATTCCGTCTGCAGTGTTGCATCCTACTTGATGATTCCTTCACTGGGCAGGGTACTCAGTAGGTTCTTAAAAATCTGGCCATTTGCGTTCCTCAAAAAAATATTCTTAGGTTATTTCTCGTGGTGGTGGTGGTGTTTCTGAAACTATGATTGTTAAGTTATTAAAATTCTGAATTACTTCTCCAATTTTCCACCCTCTGTCTTTTTATTCTTTGAGTCCTCTTCAGCTTTTCCTACTAACCCTTCTATTCATGTATTTATTTCTAAGAGCTCTTTTATTTTTTGGTCCTTTATGTGGTACTTGATCTCTCTTAGGACCTTCATGATAGACTTTTTAAAGCCTTCTAATCAGCATCTGTTTCAAGTTGCCTTTTGCAGGTTGCTCTCGGCTGTTTTCTGTACTAGACGCAAGCTGCAGTGTCTAGCAGCCTTGGGTATAAGGTAATGTGTAAAAGCCAGGGACAAAAACTGTTCATGGATAGCTGTGAACACAGGAGAGGGACTTGTTGGTAGATTTCACTTCGATTATCTGGTGGAGAACTTTCCTGGAGGAATTCCCACGGACAGGATCTTTAGGGAATTTTGCTTGAGGAATAAAATACCTTGAAAATCTGTCCCCATCTCCTACCTGGAGGAAAAAATTCTGTCTGGAAACTGGATGGTGAGAAAAACAGGAATCTTCTCATTCACTATGTAAATTTTTCCTTGATGCACCTGTTTTTCATTTGGTTTCCCTGGTCTCCAGTTCATCCACTGATTGTCCTCTGTGCAGAGAATGGATCTCAGTCTCCTGGGGAAAAAGGGAAGGAAAATTGGTGAAAGGGATTTGAGCCTCTTCTTAAATGGGCTTCCAACCAGTCAGTGTGCTTTAGCTCTCTTCACTCTCACTTCGTGGCCCTGCCAATTCCTGAGCTAACTGAGAGTTTCAAGATACAAACCAGGTTACTTCTGGCTTTCCCCACAAATGGCTTAAGATTTTGCTATCCCTCCTTTGCAAAGCCATCCATCTTTCAAGCTTTCATAATTTTATTAATGTTTTCTCTTTTCCTATTTTCTTTGTCTCTGTATGTCAGTGTCTTTTTTTTTTTTTTTTAATTCTTACTGTAATGGGAGGAGCATGCACATCTATTTTAACTGGAAGTTCTAACTAATCTCTGCTAGTTCCACATGCCTCAGTACTTACTCAGGATCACAGATGATTAACGAAATGTTTACCCTCAGCTATCGTCTAAGCTCCTGCATCTTTTCATCCCTTTCTGGTATTCTTCAGATTCCATTGGCTTGCATCGCGTAGAGAATGTCAGCCACACAGAACCTGCTGTGAGCCTTCACTTATACAGCCCACCTTTTGACACTTGCCATGCTTTTGATCAAAGAACAGGACACAAAAACAAAGTCATCATGACATTCCACAGCAGATTTGGAATCAGGACTCCATTTGTAAGTCTCATTTCTCTCTTCTGGGTTTAAAGTCTTACAGAATGACAGTATCATGCTGTATGTACTACTGTTGTTTTAAATATTTGAATTCCTTACTTTAAGCATTCTTGAAGAATGAGATGAACTTTAACGCTGGAGAAAGACCCAACATGTCTTAGTTGTTTCTTAAATTTTGGGCAGACTATATTTAAATTAGATTTTAAAAGAAACATTAAATTAGATGCAAAGAATTATTCATTGAGAAACTTTAAATTGTATTTTCACTCTCATTCTTAAAGAAAATGCTTTCTCTTCATTTGGGAATAAGAGCAGAATCTGTGTTATTCGATAGAAATGTTACTGCTGTGATTAATTTGCTGGGACAACACAAATAAGTAACACAGTTAGCCTTTGTAGAGTTGAGACCCTTCAGGTGAGACTTGCCTGTTTGATTGCTTTTTCTCTAACATATGAAGCAATTTAGCCCACAGAAAAGTCAGGGTGGACTAAACTAGTATCATTTGTGTGTATTTGTGTGTGTGTGTGTCTGTGTGTGACACACATGCGGTGGCCTTGTGCATGATAGGCATTTACTACTAAGCCGTGCTCCCAGTCAGCCCCTTTTTCTTCTTGAAGAACAAGAATTTGCACTTTAATCAGGCAACCAATTAACACTAATGTGGTAGGGCTGTCTTCTCTGCCTGGTGAGATGAATTCGCTCTCGGGAGGAATGGTCTTTATTTAGTCATTGGAATGTCCAGAAATTGGAATGTACTTGGAAAGAGAGACTGAAAACAATCCCTTTGATTCTTAATGAAAGCACAGCCTTGGGAGAGAAGCAAGGGTAGAATTTTCTCATGTCTTTCCCCATTGTGTCTTTATCTAGCGCATTCTGAAGTCTAAGACATACCCTTATCACTGGAACAAAACAAAAACACTTCACTGCCATGGCCAAGTTTTCATATACTGCTAGAAAAGCAAGACTACTTGGAGCAAGCTATAGTGCCATGTGTAAAGATTCTTACACAGCTTTCTCTTATCCTTTTTTACAGCCAACTTCAGGTTCACTGGAGAACAACTAAGGAGCACCAAACCTACAGAGTTTTGCTTTAAGGTCTGCTGAATGTTTTTGCCTTGGACCAGAAGGCCTTCCGCTATTTGATGTCCAGTAATACACTTAATTAAGCCAATACTTAGATCTGCTGTAAGGCAAATGCTAATGAATGATAAGGCATTAATGAGGAAATAGTACCCCAAAGTACTGTAGAAGAAAAATTCCATTTAAAAAGTCTTGAAATTTTAAAGACCAAATCAAATGCTTTCCTGGTTCTATCCTTTAATTCTACTGCAGCATAGTAGGAGTTTGGAAGTTGTTTTTTTTTTTTGTTTTGTTTTGTTTTTTGGTTTTTTTTTGAGCTTTGGAAATACTTTGGTCTTTGAACTGTCATTTACAATGAATATAAACAAGAGTACAGATATGAACTGTCTGCTTTGTTATCTGGTGGACTAGATGTAGGTGTTTTTAATATACTTTGTATACTCTTTTAATATTTTAAGAGAATTTTTGACCTCTGGATTTTATTTTTTCAGTATTTTACAGCTTCCTTTTCTATAGGTAATAGAAAAACCTAAGGCCATTTTACTCTGAAGGGCAGAGAACTGACTTTAAAATATAGTGTACCCAAACCTACAACAAACCAAAACCTGTATGTAATGTGTCCCATGGTCACAGACAAACATTTTATACTGCTTCCCAGTTTGCCAAATAATTTTAATAAAATTTGATTTGAACACCGTTTGAAGTGGTCTTTTAGAAAAACTTTGTATGAGTCATTGTTTCCTAGATGTAGAGTACCAAAAGCACTGTGAAAGATGCTTTTATGATGTAAGACAGAGAGAGCCAAAAAACTACATTCAACAGCAGTTTACATAATTGGGCATGCAGCTGTCGTAGAGTGCTTGTATAGCACACACATACACTCCTGGGTTTGATACCCAGAATCAGAAAAAAGGAGCAGCTTACCCTTTCAGGCTTCATGTATGTTCATTAATTGGCCAGAGATACCAACCCAAGGACCTCTGGCTGTAGCATGGCTCATAAACATGATCAGTTTTGCCTGAAAATTTGTGTGTGTGTGTGTGTGTGTGTGTGTGTGTGTGTGTGTGTTTATGTGTGTGAATGCAAATTGATTTCTAGCATTTGAAAATTGGAGATTAGGGCTGGGGATGTAGATCAGTGTAGAACACTTACCTAGTACATGCAAGGCCTTGAGTTTGATCTTCAACACAAAGGGGGTGCTTAAAGAAGAAGGTGACTTATTTGAAGCTTCTTGAAAATTTGAAGTTTCTGGAAATACGAGGCTTACACTGCATTTTCAGTGTCATCAGTGAGACCAGAGTCTGCCCCTCAAAGGGGCAACCTCTCCAGTCTAGTACAGTGCCTAGCTCGCCTCTTTCTTACATGTGCATTTACCTACAGAGCTCACTTATACATTTGAGTTTGCTACCTGTGTTGTAGACAGTTTTCTTAGAAATAATCTTGTACTATCTCACAGTGTTCTCTCTGGGAACTTCATTATACAGTGTTTTGAAAATAGTTCCTAGTTATGTTATTTATATTATTTCATTGAATTATTTCTATATTAGCTTTTTCCCATCTTTGAATAGGATACTAGCATTTATTGAATGCTCGGCTCATAGTAGGTAGTTGTTATAAGCTGTTCAGATCTACTAAGAAACTTAGTTCTGAAAAGCAAACTTCATGAATCAGATACTGTTGGTTTTCCACTGCTACTACATTACCACGTTTAGTGGCTTAAGTCAGTGCAGATTTGTTACCCAACAGCTCTGGGGTCAGAAGTCTTGACAGTTTCACAGTGCTAAAACCAATGTGTTATGAGGGCTACATTCCTTTCTGTAGGTTCTGGGTAGGATCTGTTTTCTTGTGCTTTTGTTTCCCAGCCTCCTGTTTGCCTCCTTCCTCTAACTTTAAAGATACTAGTAGCAGAGTGAATCCTTCAACATCTCATCACTAATGTAATCTTCCCTCTCCTTTTCTGCTTTAAGGACCTATTTATGATTAGATAATATCTCTATCTCAAGATATCCTTAATCATATCTCTTCCCATTATAGTGTCAACTCAAAGTCCAAAACTTATCTAAATCTCACCTAAATTAGGTACAGGGGAGGCTCTTGTTATAATCCATCCTGAGATGCAGTTCTTCTCTAAAGGTAGACATATTGAGCATGGTTAAGCACTTACCAGTGATATTCAACCAAGATGTTAGAGAACTAAGAATTAGATCCAGGATTTGATTTCAAGCAGTCTTCCTTTAAAACACTCTTTATATTTGAGCTTTTCAAGGTATTATGGTTCGGATCCAAAATGTCTCCCAAAAGGCTTATTGTGCTGAAGGCTGGATTGCCAGCTGATGAGTTTTGGGGACAAAGTTGGATCATTAGGGCTTTAACTTCAAGTGGATTAATCCATTCATGAGTTCATTAGCTGAAAAAGATTGTGAGGGGATGGAGTCTAAATGGATGAACCAGGGGTACATGGCTGTGAATGGTGTATTTTGTCCCTGTCTCCTCCTTCTCCACCTTTTTCCCTCTTTATCTGCTTCCCAACCACTATGAGGTGAGAAGCTTGGCTCCACCGTGCCTTTCTGCCATGATGTTTCTGCTTTGCCACAGACCCATAGCAATGGAGCCAGCTTATCATGGACTGAAACCTCAAACCATGAGACAAAATAAACTTTTCTTCCTCTAGGTTGATTGTCTCAGATATTTTGTTACAGCAGTGACATACAAGGTAAAAGAAGCCTGGGCCACTTTTGTGTATTTTACCATAGTAAAACAAAAAATTATGGTATAGTTATAAATTGTATATATAAGGTATTTAAATGTTTAATACATAGCACCACTAACACAAAAGAGGTAATAAATATTCTATGTGTGGCAAGGATGGCAAAATGTAAACTTGAGTGTCCTGTGAATCCCAGGCTCAGGTCAGACAGCCCCGCCTATTCCTCAGCCTCTGTGGTGGGCCGGGCTTGCTCCTGCCCATGAGACATTCCTGCATGAGGATGTGTGCTGACGCTCCTCCCAGAGCTCACTGTTTTCTGGGGTCCCCCAGGTGTTTGCACACGCAGCAAGGCAGTGACAGCATCAAGGCTCAAATGGGTTCTGAGAGGCAAATAAGATGCAAACCCTGTGAGAGACAAGGTTTCACTGGCTGCTGTATTCTGAGCACTTACACTACTGTTGACACATAGTAGGGGCTTAATATTTATAAAACAAATGGAAAAAGTCTCAACCCCTTACATAATAATTTTGTATGAAGCTACCTTCATTTTTTTTGAGCCACCAAATCAAATATGCCATGTTATTTTCATTATGTATGGCAATGCTAAGATCATTATTTAAGCCAAACTTTGTGAGTAAAGTCTGTGTCAGAAACTTATGTTTTGTTGTACATTCATCAACCATAGACTTAGACAAACTTCTTGATGAACAGAGACCTTTTATGTATGTTTCATGAAAGAATACAGCATTGATCACGCTATTTGGAAATGGTTCTTACCCTTCTTTTGGATGATGGGATGTTCTGAAAATCTTTGCATGTTAAAGAACGTTTCTCCAGAAAGATAACACACACAAATTTGCGTGCAATCTTGCACACAATCTCAGAAAAATAGTCATGGACCCTTTGAAGGCCATTAGGAGCTCTGGTTAAACATGGACCAAAGCTAACAGGAAATGTTGGCTATTTGACTTCATTTTCTGAGATTAAATGAGCATTTGCACAGAGGCAGTTAGAAAGGTTACAATGCAGTTTCTACGTCAGTGGTAGGAGCCACTTTGCTCAAAGCAATCTGCACATTTCACAAGATCTGTTTTCTCTGTTTCTAAAGTAATTTCAAGCTTTCACAATTATTTATTCAATTTGCAGATGTTTCTAGAAAAAGATTTATGTAGGAGAGTAACATGAGACATGGATGAATATATGATTCTGCTTATTTGAGGCACCTAGAATTGGAAAACTTGTAGAGACAAAAAATAGAATGGAGATTACTGGGGGCTGGTGGGAGGAGAAAATGAGTTATGGTTTAGTGGGTACAGAGCTTTTGGTGGGAATGATGAAATGTTTTGGGTAAAGAGTGGTGATAAGCACTCTTGAAGGTTTTTTTTTTTCAGTTTTTCAAGGATATTTTTTAGTCGCATATTTTTAATTAATTAAGTTTATGAGTACACTTTAGGTATGCAAAATGATCATATTCATGGAGGGAATTTATACCTGTATATAATATAACTTGATTCTTTTTTTCCCCATCTCCCTACTGTCTCTTCATCCCCTCTTTGCTTCCCTATTTACAAAAGCTTTGTTTGCATTTTTTCCTTCTTGTCTCATCATTTTTTTTTCCTTTCTCTACCTTCCTCTCCTACTTCCCCATCCCCGCTTCCCCTTCCCATTTGAACATTTTCTTCCTATTTCACAATATCTGTTACATATTTTGGTTCTTACTTACACTTTCAGCTTTTCACACCAAAGAAACAATGTGATGTTTACACATGTGTATCTGATTTATTTCATGTAAGAGTATGGTCTCAAATTGCATCCATTTAACTAGAAATATCTCAGGCTTATCCTTCTATATGGAAGAGTAGTACTCCATTTTATAAAAAACCACATTTTCTTTATCCATTCATCAGCTGGTAGGCATTTGGGCTGTTTCAAAGATTAGGCTTTTGCATGCTGCAATAAACATAGGTGTACATTACATCACTGTGGTTTAATGCTTTTAATTCTTTTGGAAAGATACCAAGAAGAGGAATAGCTGAGTCAAATGGAACTTCTAGTTCTAATTTTTTGAGGAATCTCCACACTGATTTCCATAGTGGTTGTACAAATCTACACTCCCACCAACAGTGGAGAAGGGTTCCTTTTTCCCCACAACCCTTCCAGCATTTGTTATTGGTTGATTTTTTGGTGATAACCATTCTTTTTGGGGTGAGATGGAATCTCAGTGTTGTTTTAATTTGCACTTTTTGAATGACCAGTGATGTTGAACATTTTTTCATATATTTATTTGCCATTTCTACTTCTTCATCTGAGAAGTACATATTCATCCCAGATGCACTTTTTTGGATTGGGTCTTTAAATTTGGGGCATCTGATTTTTTGAGTTCTTTATATATTCTAGATACTAGTCCTTTATCTGAGGAACACCTGGCAAAAATTTTTTCCCTGTGGGTTGTCTCTTCATTCTGTTGGTAGTTTATCTTACTGTGCAAAAAGCTTTTTAATAATATGTGATTTCAGTTGTTGATTTTTTGTGATAGTTCCAGTGTGATTGAGGTTTTGTTCATAAAATCTTTGCCTACATGAATGTCTTCAAGAATTCTACCTATCCTACCTTCCAGCATGTTTAGTGTTAGCACTGTGAAGGTATTAATGACACATAATTGTACATTTACAAATAATTAAAATAAACATGTATATTTTCCTACAATAATTTTTTTCTAAAGATTTAAATGTAGGGAAAAGTTGTGTGTGTGTGTACAAGTGTGATCAAAATATGTGATGAATGTTTGCATTCTTAAAAACTTGTTATACTAACAGACATACTGCCATTAATCTCCAAGTACTCCCCTCTAACTTTGAGCACAAATACCCCATCATTCTTGCCACTTTCTGAAGCAGTTCTAGAAGTCTTTTGTGAATGTGTTTATAAGATGTGATCAAAAATTGGTGAATGCTACTGTTGAGTGGCATCCAAAGTAACAGCAGACTCACAA